TGGCTTTATTATCCGTTTTCCTTTTTAGTTAAAAAATATACAATATTCATTACTTCTAAGACTGTTTTCGTTACCCACACACATGTACTACTCTGTTACCTGGCTGAGTGAGCCCAGTTTTTTTTATTCCTATATTTTAATAAATTGTGCTTTTTTTTTTGCTTTAAAAATGATTCAGTTGTGTTTCTTGTTTGTTATGGTTAAGGTTTTTATGCCTATAGTTAATCTGTGTACAATAATTATAGAATTATCAACAATATAAAAGTTTAAGTGGTGTTAAGTGTAAAAATATCCTTTTGTTTAGGCTTCCATTTGTTTACATTTCAAACTCTTAGTAGAATAGTGAATTAAATCAGTTTGTGCACCAACTTCAGAGTGTTTTTGCCGAGTGAGACCAAAAGTAAACTTTCAGTTTTGTGCACCGAAAACTCCGTCTTCATGCCTGTTTCCCGAATTGCTTGTTTTTGTGCAAAAGCTCTAATTTTAATTGTAAATTTTTTAAACTCTTTTTAAATGTATTTGGTGTTTTATGTTTTTCTGCATTTTAAAATTTTTAATGAAGATGCTTTGAGATTTTATGTATTTTTCCCGTACTGCAAAGTGAGAATTGCATTAATTGAATAAAAAATTTATCTCTAATGAAATTCGAGGAAATAAGTTTAAATGAACTGCAGCAAAAAATGTGTATAATTTAGTAAACCATACAAGGAAGTCATATGGTGTCCTCATTAGATATTTCTTTTCGGCTTTATGGAAAAGTATTCTCGTTGCACTACTCCAAATAATGATGCTGTGTTTAAGATATTCTTCTTTAAGTTTATGTATTTTAATACGAACAAAGTGAAATGCATGAAGTGGTGTTGATTGCACTACTGAAAAATTTTACTCAGTGCTACAAATTCTTCAGAAACATCATTCATAACATATAAATTTATATGAAATTCAGTATTTTTCCAATTTCTGTATGCAGTATTTTGAAGTATGGTTACTTCCATCATCATCTTTAAAATATTTAATTAATGCTTCGTAATTTTTAATTATTTCTTTCATTGCAAGGTACCTAGATAACCCCCCAACTTCATTTGATGGTTTAAAGGTAATAAATTCATTTTCTAAATCATTAGCAGTATCTTAAATTTACACTTTCTTTCAGATCTAGAAAACATGGTGTATATCATTTTCATCAAAGTTTCAATATCTGTCATTAATTTATGTTTGTGAAGCATTGTAAATACCTAAATCTTAGTGTAACAGCTTTTCCATTAGAAGTAAACATAACCCTTCAGTATATTTTCTTTATAAAATTCTTTTATATTTTCATCATAGAATTCTTTTAAATTTTCTTTATAAAATTCTTTTAACAACTGAAAAGCATCACATGATTTTTTTTTAGTTATTACACCAAAGAAAGTCTTATTTTGGTTATTCTGGTTACCTCTAAATTATAGTATTAAACATTTGGTGATAAAAATGTCAATATTTTCGTCGACAGTTAAAGGGCAAAAATTAGATTCCTTAAGGTTAATATTTTTTTTTTCCACAAATTAATCATTTAAAAAAATGAAAAATATAATTGTTACCTCACCAGTTTTCTTGAATTTTAACATGCTTTCCCATATTTATATCTTGGACAGAGTGCAAGGAAATATTCATTTTAATTGCTAGTCATTTCAATTTTTCTATTGCTAGTCATTTCAGTTGTCAGTTTGTTGCTAATTTAATTTAGTTGTTTCAATTTTATGTTTAATTGCTAGTCATTTCAACATTATAAATTAATATTTTCACTTCTTCAGGAGTGGATTTGTTTCTTTTGATGTACATCTGAAGTATCACTCAATAAACATACCAATCCTGTTGCCAGTAGCAAGGGATTTTTGCTTTTTAATTTTGTTACTCTGTCCACGAGATTTACTATTTATATTCCCTTAAAATTTAGTTTCCAATTATCTACCTATCTTTCCCTACTAATAAAATCCTTACTTCCATGTTTTCACAACAGTAAATACAAATAACTCTATGTTCTTCGTTGTATAAAAATATTTCCCATGATGGAATTCATAATTTATTTTTACTGTTTAGCGTCTTTCTTTCAACTATTTCATTACGCCATTGGATTTTAAATTTGTTAGCTGTTTTTCTTCTTTTTACAAAGTTTTCCATAGTTTATATATAAATATATGAACATAAAGTATAATGCAATGACACAGATATTGTTAGCTACACTTGTAGACAACATACCACATGCTATTGCTGTTTAACAACATGCACTTTACTTGCCATATTAGGAGATAGCAAAAGCGCAACAGCACCATTTACTACAGTTGTATGGTGCAACATGAGCATGCATATTAAATACCAATGAATATACACTGCCTTCCAAAAGTTAAGAAACAGCATGGTTTCCCCCCCCCCAAAGCTCACTGTTACAAAAAGGTCAGTAACATTTAAATTCACAGTTCACATGCATGACAGTAAGGAAGTTTAAAAAAATATATGCAAAATCAATAGCTACCACTTTTATTTTTTAGAAATGTATACTTATATAGGTGTTGGAGAAAAAATGCAATAATTGTAATTTTTGTTCATGACTGTTGATCTTCAGTTGTTAGTACAGTTTCGTGGATGATATCCAGGAGAGTCTATCAATGTTCAGGAGAAATGGTTTGCCTGTTACGATTGAGGTGGCAGATGATTGGATGGATGGAAATGGGGATGTCACAAGCTCATACTGCTAGAAGTCTCAATGTCTCTCGTAGTGTGGTCCACCAACTATGGAATCAGTTTGAATCCGAGAATGTTGTGTCTAGAAGACATATTCCAGGCAGACCTAGAGTTACTATGCTTGCGGGAGACTGTTATTTAGCTCCTTCGGCCCAAAGGAAGAGTAACATTACTATACCTCAGTTCATGGTAGATCATTTAGTGGGAACAGGAACAATAACCTCAGCTACTACAGTGTGCAGATGGCTGCACAATACAGGTCTGTATGCAAGACGACCAGTTGTTTGTGCCTTCTTGACCTGAGGACACAGAGGTGCCCATTTATGTTGGGCAAGGGAACACGTCTCCTGGACAGTCAACAGTGGCATCTATTGACTTCACATATAAGTCCAGGTTCACATTGGAGAGTGATTCAGGTTGTCAGCTGATCTGGAGGGAACAACATACCAGATACAACCAATGCCACATTGTGGAAAGACAGTTACAGAGTAGGTGGAATATATAATGGTTTGGTCTGGGATATCTCTCGGTGGTCACACTGACCTGCATGTGTTCCATGGAGGAACTTTGACCAGTGTGATATATTGAGATGAGATCTTTGATCAATATGTCTGCCCATATGTCGCTGCTATTGTCCTGTATTTCTTCTGATAGATGACAATGCACAACCACATTGAGCTTGGGGTTATATGTAGAATATCTTGAGGGTCATGGTATGGAGCGGGTGAAATGGCCACCTCAATCACCAGACCTGAATCTAATAGAGCATCTTTGGGACTACCTTACGAGACAGGTTGCTGGTTTAAATTCTCCACCAAGGTGATAGATGAGCTTGAGTGAGGATTACTCCATGTCTGGTTGTTGCATCCCATTTCACTGACCGACAACTTAATTGACAGCATGGTACGTCACTGCCAACAATGTATTGCAGCTGGGCATGGACACATTCCTTATCAGAACTCATTTTGTAATGTTACTATCCCATTTTTCCTCAAAAAAAACTATGATATACTGTTTCTTCAAGACTGGATTTCTCTGTCAAGAGGGCAATTTTAACTTCAGAAACATTCTATGTTGCATTCGAACATGTCCTGTAAATTCCATGTTTCTGTGTTACTTCATTCTCAAATTAGACACAAAAAATATACTGTTCCTTAAATTTTTAAGGGCAGTGTATAATGAATATAAATGTGATACATATTGAAAGTAATGTAAAAGTGTAATTATTGTTATTATTACTATTATTTTGATTAGTGGCATGTTTGTGTGTATGCTTGTTCATTTTCTTTGTGCACTGCCTCCAGTTGTTTTCCAGCCATTGTTACTTAATGTGAGAAAAACATGTTTATAATTAAATAAGATATTCATTCATTCCAGACTCTATTATTGGCATCTTATGCTTCAAGTTAGGCAAACGTTGTGAAGATACGGACTTTATTAAGTTACTGGCACAGGCTATCCAGCCCAAAAACATAATCATGTGAACCATTTTTCATGGTTTATTTATACATTGTTAAGTTTATTATAAGTAGCATCTAAATTCACTTGCATTTATAAAAAGGAAAGTTTCTGCCTGTCTTCGGATATGGCAAACCATTAACATAAACATTTTCTGTTAAACTCCTCTTCATCATTGTCATGTTCATAAGTGTCTTTAGAAGCAGTATAGTATACAGTATCAAATGGTGCTTTTCTGCATGCATGTGTTTTGATATTGACCAAAAAAATTTCTGTATTACATTAAGAGATTCTATCAGATTCGGAATCTGGCAGTTGGCAATAGCTGACACATTATATGAGGCAATTTACTGCAATATAACTAGACTTTTCATCACTCTTCCACATTATAATAAGCAATGACAAATTATACGTTGAATATTTGTACTGATATTTATTGAGGACATGTTCATTTATTTACTTTAATCTGCTGCTTAAAAAGGCTTCTGTGAATTATCTGACCAAAAATCAATCCTTAAGGGGAAATCTTGTATATGATGACAACCTGCTTTCCACCTAAGACTTATATACTGTTATGTCATTAACTGGACCTAGACTCATGAAAATTTGATCATTTGCTTATCTCGGGCATACCTCTCATTCTTTTCATTCCTTCATTTACAGTTATTTTACAATCTTGCCTTCTTGGTACTGACATTTCATTGTTGAGTGTATGTATATTAATGCTATTTGTTTTATTTTTTGTTCACCTGGCATATTAATGGAACAGTTTGAAATGTTTATGAAAATTTTAGTTAAGATATCTATTTTTTCTTTCCCAGCCCCATAGATCATTTGGCTGATATAATATTTGTTCATGGGTTACTGGGGGCCACTTTCTGGACATGGCGTCAGCATGATAATCAGAGAAGAAGCAATATCTCTACTAGTGGAAAACAAAGGAAACCTGAACAAGATACACATAATGAACTTTGTAATTCTTTAAATTATACTCTGTGTTGGCCAAAGGTAAGATTTATCATAAATTAATAAATTGAAATTTTAGTTAATTGCTAGTAAATTTAACAAACATATAAGTTGTGATGTATTTTCTTTTTAGAAATAGTATGTTCTTTATGAAAGAATATTTCCATTATGTGTACATTTAGCCCTTTGAAAAATACTTTTTTTGTTCTCATTCTTAGTTGAATTTTTATGTAAAGTTTTGCTGAAGCATTTTAAAATAAGGAAAAGGTTAGTAATTCCTAGCTATGCTAAATTCATCAATTTATATAATTGAGTATAATGTACAGGGTGTTAGGGAAAAAAAATGTGTACACTTTTTGACTGTTTATAAATGCATTGTTTACTAAGATATATATATGTGTGTATATACACTGGTGTGCAAAACTTAAGCAGCAATGCAAATTTTAATCAGATAACCATGCAGTTGCAAAAAAGGGATTCTTGCTATTGGTACAATGAACACGCAATTCAGTAGAAAGGCCATGCATATGCATATGTTCGAAAAAAAAAAACATCACAGGCTACGTGATCGTACGCAAAACGCGTGCGCTCCAATTGAGACTACCATAAAAGGAAGGATGAAGACACAATTAAAGACATTCGCTGCAAGTAAAATCTTTCATGAAATATGGCTAGAAGAAATCATCTGGATGACTTCACGAGTGGAAGAATGATCGAAAAGCTGGAGGAGGGACGTAGTGTGACCAGTGTGGCTGAAGATTTCGAAGTCAACAAAAGTGTCGTTTTGCGGGCTTGGAAAGCCTTCCAAACCATAGGTACTGCTATTAGAAAGGTTGGTGGGGGCCGCTCCAGGACAACAACTGCAGCAGATAACCGATATATTGTCCTACAGGCGAAAAGAACCCAAAACCAGTCAGCAAGCTCCACAGCTCAGCAACTGTGTACAGCAACCGGCGACAATTGTCGTGGGTTTTCTGTGTCCAGACACCTTCACAAAGATGGCCTATTCGCCCGCCGTCCTGAACGCTGCGTCCCTTTGAAAGTTGGCCATTGGCACCACCATTTAGAGTGGTACAAGAAGCACAAAAACTAGGCATCTCATCAATGGAGTCGTGTCCTCCTTACGGGTGAGGGTCGTTTTAGTGCCCCAAGCGATTCTCAACACCAACTTATTTGGAGAGAGATAACGACACTGTTTAATCTCGGTAACATCACGGAAAGAGACCATTATGGTGTCCTGGAGATCTCGTCTGGTGAGGCATTATGCTGAACGGGCAGACAGAGCTCCACATTTTCGACAGAAGTTCTGTAACCGGACATCGCTATTGTCAGGAGGTGATCCTTCCCTATGTGCATCTGTTCCGAGGTGCAATTGGACCAGACTTTGTTTTTACGGATGACAATGCACGGCCACACTGGACTCCTGCTGTTCAAAAGCTACTGAAAACTGAAGATATCACTCAAATGGATTGACCAGCATACTCCCCTGATTTAAATCCCATAGAACATGTATGGGAAGCTTTGGGAAGATGCTTTGAGGCATGATTACATCCTCCGGTGAACACCCAACAACTGAAACAAATGCTGATTGAGGAATGGGTACTCTCACCTCAAGATCTGTTGGATAATCTGGTGCTGAGTGTGGGGAGACGGTGAGAAGCAACCATTGCAGTAAGGGGAGGGCATATCCCATACTAAGGAACATCTGCTTGTTGTTCTTCTTCTTATATAGACAATCATGTGTAACGATACTATGAGTTCAATAAAGCATGTTTGTGTTTAATTCCATACTGTATGCATTGTATTCATTTTTGCGCAATTATGCTTTCGTCATCGTTTAAATACAAAATGCTGTCTCTTATTTCTGAATTTCATGTCTCTCAGACAGAGGTGTAGCTAAGGTTTTTAACGCCCGGGGATAACTAAAGATTTTGCGCCTCTTTCTGTGTTACAAGAATGGGAAACATTTCATTCTAAAATTTGTAGCATCAATTTGGTGCCTCTTAGATGCTGCACCCAGGGACAGATGTCCCCCCCTTGCCCCACCCTAGCTACGCGACTGCTCTCGGATGATATCTCGTGGATTTATGTCAAAAAGAACACCTGTTGCTTAAGTTTTGAACACCAGTGTATATATACAGTACAAAGTCCGGACGTCCATTATCCGGAATGATCTATAATCCAGATTTCAAAGCCATAAACCTTTTTTGTATGCTTTGCGCATGCACGTGATGCATTTACGCATGTGCATTTAATGTATAACGAATGGTATAAGCTAGGCTAAAATTATCTTTACTGATTCTAAGGCATTTCAGTTAATGTTGCAGATTGTGCTGTTCCTTAATCTTCTAACTGGATCTGGCTTATTATCTTTTGCAGACTGTTAGAGCAATTTTATAAAAATTAAGCTTGAACCTTCGATTATGTTGAAAAGAGTTTCTAGTTCTGGAGCTGCCAAAGGATCTACAAAGGGAAAGCATGTTTCGATGTCAATCAAACAAAAAGTGGAATTGCTGCAAAAAATGGATAAAGGCATGAAGAAAGTGACAGAAAGCTTAGTGAAAAGGAAAAAAATTCAATTGACAAGTTAGTCGGTATTCTCGGCACAGCAATTAACGGGACTTGAACAGTGGAACTTCGTAACTGAACAAGAAATTATGTCTGTTTATAGAATTAAAGAGAAAGTATTAGCACAAAAAATGAAGCAACTTATATTGAAAGAAATGTTTAAAAGTAAACAAATAAAAATGTTTTTTATTATTTTTTTTTTATTTTTTTTTTTGTAAAATTTGATACCCTTTAAATCATAATTGCTCTTTTTCATAAATTACAGTTTCATATTTTTTAATTGGTAATTTCTGCATGCCATCTTACCAGATTTAAATTGATGATCTATAGTTCAAAAAACCCCTATCCGGAATCCTGAAGTCCCCGCGATCTGGATTACAGATTGTACTGTTTTTCAATCCTATAATAATAAAGACTTAATATTAAATTACAGTGATAGTTAGCTGATTACATTCTGATCAGCATTCTAATTTTTGAGTATATTTCTTTTAATGAGCTTTCCATATTATTGATATTTGCTGGTTTTTATGCCATAAAAGTTTATCTTTGATATGTTCCCATTAAAAAATACTCGCTTTCATGAGATCTGGTTCGACAAGCTGTATTTAATGTTGTCTCTTTGTTTAATACATGTATTCAAATAATCATCATAACAGACCTTAACATCCTGATGGTATTAAGAAAGTGTTCATTTGTCTGCAGATAAATACCAGATTATTGGATGCCATTTCTTACACATTGTAAAATAATAATATCAGTATTCAACTTAACTACTGCTTTCATTTGTGATTTTCAGCTTATGTTTTTGTTTTATTTTTTCCTTGTTGAATGACAACACTGATTGTTAATTCTTAATATTAATAGAATGTAGTTTCAATTTTTTTTTTTTTTTGTTAGCAATGATAATTTTAAGTTGTGTTTAATGTAATAAATAGTTGTTAATTTTTAATAACGTCATATTCATTCATCTGGAGAACCTGCAATTAATTTTAGTGATTTAAAAGGTGTCTTCTTTTTTGTTTGTTTGTTTTGCTGCTGTTATTTACATTTTACTGACCTTTGCGACAAGATTTTACTTATGATTTGGAAAGAAGCAGCAAAAGGACTGAAAGAGGGCTTGTTTTATGTCGTCAAAGAAGTTGGAGTGGCATTACCTCGAAAGATCACAATAGCAAAACTGAAAGAAGTTATTTTACAGAGTAAACAGTGTGTAGAAAATCCGCAATTTGTTACAGATTTTTTGACAAAATGGAGATAAATGACAGTAAATGGAGGTAGAAAGAAAAAAAGAGATGAAAGCAAATAGAATATGAGGATCAGGAAAAGCTAAAGCAAATAGAATCGAAGAAGGGGGAAAGATAAGGCAACACGAACTGGAGTTGGCACAAATTCATATAAAATTACCAATGGCAGGGAAGTCTCAAAACTCTGCTCCTCTTACTGGTTCTAAAAATTAATTAAATCTATCAAAATTAGAGTTTAGGCTGTTTAGTAGTGACATTAAGGCTACCCTTTTGTAGTCAATTCTTGAGATTCATGATAATGAAGACATTGCACTTGAAATTAAATTTCAGTACCTTGTTCAAGCTAGTGTAAGTGGGTCCAGAGCATGAGAAGTTTTAGAAAGCTTCTCTCCACCAGCAGCCAACTATGCCAAAGCTGTTGATAGTATAAAAACTTACCGTAATTTCCGGAAGAAACGCCGCGGCGTTTACGTGTTTAAAACTTAAATTTTCAGCGGGTGCGGCGTTTCTACCAGTGCGGTTAGGTGCACTAAAATATTCTAGATGGCATTGTACCTAGTTTTGGATGGCCTTGTCATTGGCATAGATTGTGCTGTTCCCACACAAAGACCCTCAGTTGATTTTTCGAACGTATTTAAGACACAAACACGCAAATAATATATTCAAACAAACAAAAATCAGCGTTATTTACAAAATTTTCACAGGACATTTCGATGGTTTTAACCGAACCACCATCTTCAGCTGCAAAACCGCAAATGAACCAGATAGGAAATAATGATTAGATGAGCAGAAAATTTTTGAAAATGTCCCTAAACGGCACAGAAGCTATACATTTCTTACCTTTCATTTATTTTTGAGTTATGGTTTCATTTCATGCATTTTTCTTAACTGGTATGTCATATATCTTCTTGCGCTGATGCTGAGGAACGGATGATTAATTTTATGTTCTTCCTTTAAGCCGAAGCTGAAGGGAAAGAAAGAATAAATTTAGCGATGTCTAGTTTTGCTTTTTGTTCAAGTGAAAATCACCAATCTTTTAAGAAAGGAGGAGGGCATTTGACTGCAGGAAAAGTGTCTACAGCTGCCAATTTACTTATTACAGCTTAAAAGGATATGAAGAAATTATGTGTTTTTGTTCTGGGAAACACCCAAGCTCAGACTGTTTTTCTGCTCAAAAGACGAGTTCAGCTGAAATGCAGAGTGTTTTAAGAGATAAAGAGTGCTGTGTCGCATGCCTAATGGCTGGACATCTAGTTAATAAGTGCAAAGTGTTAGTGATGTGTAGTATGTGGTAAAACACATGTGCCACTTATGTGTGAAACTAGATGCTCGGAATAAGACATTGGATAAGTGATGGAAAATGTGCAAGTTTTGAAATCATCATGTCTAACATCACGTATGGTCCGAAGGTGATCCTTCAGATCATGAAAATAAAGCTAGTATCAAATAGTAAGGATTTCCTTGTTAGAACAGTCCTAGATTCAGAGTCTCAAAAACATATATTTTAAAAAATCTGGTGAAAGAAATGTGATATAGTCCAGCAAGGAAAGAAACTCTTATACACCCATCCCTCAATTTGCATGAAAGATAGGTTCCGCTCAAAATTGTGTAAATCGAAATCTTGGATTTTGCTATCTAAAACCGTGTAAAACGAAAAACATACTGTGTAAAACAAAAGCATGACATCTTGAAATAAATAAAGTTACACGTCATTCATAAAATAACAAATATGTCTCAGTAATAAAGTACATATTTAATTTATTTTGCATTAGAAAAATATAAGATCATTCAAAAAATTATTATAAGTTTAATCACTGTCATCACTTTCATGAACTATCAGTCTTTTCTTCTTGATTAGTATGTCACTTTCATCACTTGAGCATTCTTAATAAAAAAGACTCTGATTCAATGGTTGATGAATCAGAGAAGATCTCAGATTGGCAAGACTTTGTAGTGAAATCCGTAATTAACAATTGCCTCGGTTTTTTTCTTCCCTAAACCTTTGTAAACCTTCTCATATTTATTTAAGCACTTACTAAGCTCCCGTTGGAATTGGAGAGCTCATTCAATATTCCTGTCATATTGTAAAAAAATGATTGCTTAATTTTCTTCCCAATTCAAGTCTTACCCTGATGACTCTTCCTGTGAATGCAACTGGTTTAGATTGCTCTTCATCAGAATCATTGTCTTCATCATGTTTAACTCTCTTCATTTATTTCTTCATCAGCCATTATTTCTTCAATATCTGCCTGAGCTAAATCCTCAAAACCTTCTCCTCGTATAGTTTGGGCCAATTTACTGATCTGAGAATATTCTTGCTGTAATGGTTATCTATCATTATCATCTGTAGCAGCATCCGACCATATTGCTTTCCAGCATGCGTTGAGCATTGATTGCTAAATCTGAGTATATTTGAGCATTGATTGCTAACTCTGAGTATATGACAGTTTAACATGCTTAACACAATCCAATATTGTAAATTTCTTCCAAGGAGCCATGAGAGTAAGATATTCATCATTCTCCATTTGTTCTAAAATCTACCTGAAGGTCTGTTTGATATAGAAAGTCTTAAAAGTCGAAATTATTCCTTGATCTAATTGCTGTTATAAGGAAGTTGTATTCTTTGGTAAAACGACAACTTCTACATTTTCGTGTTGTAAATCTTGAAGATGTTCAGCTGCATTATCAATTAATAGAAGAGCCTTAAAAGGTAATCCCTTTTCACTTAAATAATTCTTGACATCTGGGACAAACATGTTATGAAACCATTCATTGAAAGCTATGGCAGTGACCCATGCTTTCCTATTAGCCATCCAAGAAATGGAAAGGTTATTTATGTTTATTCGTTTGAATGAGCATGATGTTTTTGATATGTTAATAACCAATGGTTTCATTATACAATCGCCTGAAGCATTGCAAATGAGAAGAATTGTTATATGGCTTTTCTCTACCTTGTGACCACTAGCCGATTTGCAAGCTTTAGCTAAATATAAATAAACTCCTTGGAGCTGACATAATAGGAAAACTTACGGCAGGTCAGTGTAAAAGACCTGTAGACTTGAAACCATGGAAACTTCACTTGGTTGGACTTCATGGGGAAAAAGTACCTGACAGAGAAGTATCTGTAACCAATGCTATGCTGGTAATTTCCCTTTTAGTAAAAGAATTTGATATTTCTGAAATGTGGAAATTGTATTCCTTATGGATACAAGATCCTTCAGATCAGAAACTAAGGAACTTTTAAGAGGCCTTAATGGAACACTTGTTAAAGACTGTCAAAAATGGACATTTTTTCGTTGGTCTACCACCGCTTCTTGTTCATTTACCCTTGCCTGACAATTTTAATTAGACATTCAAGAGATTACAAATGACCATTTGTAAGCTCAAAGTTGGCAAGTTATATGAAGAGTATGGAGAAGTCTTCAAAGAATGATAACAAGAAGGCATCATCGAAGAGGTTCCTGGGGAAGAAGAAATGAAGTCATCTTTTCACTATTTGCCCCTTCGGCACGTGGTGTGTGTATGTGTGTGATTATGGCAAAGCCTCGAGGGCTATCTGCCTAAGGGAAAAGATGCCTTCGTGGAGGACTTTCTAAGGGAAACTGGCTTGTATACAGGTTACACATGGGGAAAACCGAAAACGCCCATGCACGGCACGTGGTGAAGGAGAACAGTATGACTAAGATTAGGCCTATGTTTAATGCTTCTTCTAAACAAAAGAGAACTCCCAGTCACAGTGATTGTGTTCACAGTGATTGAAGGGATTGAATTTGATACATTTAATTCCTTCCATGATAACAAGGTTTCCCTTGTATAAATTTGGTATAACAGTTGATATAAGCAAAAAGGTTTGGCAAATAAGTCTGTATACAAGAGAGATTTTCTACGATTGCTATGCTGTGATGAAAATGGAAAGCTGAAACATTATCACCATCGCAAAGTTGTCTTTGGTGTTGCATTTAGTTCGTTCTTGCTTGGGTCAACCACTCATAACCATTTAGGAAAGAAACTAGATGAAGCCATGCAAGGAAATGAAAAATATCATGAAGATATTATCTGATAACTGAGACTCAGCTTCTGTGTGGATAATTACTTGACTGGCATCAAAACTGAATCAGAGTTGAAGCAATTTATTGAAGTTGCCACTGAAAGGGCTGAAAGAAAAATTGATTTATGAAGGTAGGAATATACTAACCCATTGGAATCTATATTAAGTCAAACAGGCATTCCAAAAATGATGGAGGACAGACATTGTGATATTTTACACTTTTTTGATCAACATCCCTGATGTGATAGAAGCAACAAATGTAGTAATCAGAGGGGAAAAAAATATTTTATCTGCTTTATGGAAAGTTTTTGATCCTCTAGGGATCTGGTGGACTCTAGGGATCTGGTGATACTGTGTCTGAAAATCTGGCTGCAGAATTTGTGGAAATCTAAAATTGGTTGGGACAAAGAAGTTGATGTAAAAACATGTCAAGATTTTGAATTTGAACTACAAAGTTAAAATTTTATCACTTAGCAAGGTGGGAGTATATTACAGATAGTAAAATAATTAATATCACTATTTAACTAGTTTCAACGATTTTTAGCTTATGTTTTTGTTTTACTTTTTACTTGTTGAATGGCAACACTGGTTGTTAATTTTTAATATTAATACAGTGTAATGAATAGTTTTCTATGTTTTTACTTAGCAATGTAAATTTTAAGTTGCATGTAATTAAATAAATATTTAATTTTTAATATTATCATATTCATTCACCTGGAGAGCTTGTAGATCATTTGAGCGATTTAAAAGGCATCTGAAACTTTTTGTTTTGCTGCTGTTATTGGAAGTAGTATGTTTATTTTTATAATGTCCTGTGTATTTTAGCCCCTAATATTAAAATTTGTTACTTGCGTATTTTACCGGTTGTTACTGTGAGAATATTACTGACTTAATACAAATTTATTTACATCCACATTTTTAAATATAAAGGATTGGCTTGCCAGGGATCTTCCTAATCTCCGTCTCATTTCTGTTGATTACAATACATGCCTCAGTAACTGGAAATTGCAGTGTTCACAACGAAAAGAAAAGTATGTAAGCTTTTTATATTGTATTTTTTATTACTTGAAATTATGTCGCATTAGCTTTATAGGGATAATAAATAAACTGTCTGTTTATTTATTATTAAGATTTTTTTATGAGCAACTACTTTAGTTTACATTGTGGGGGAATTGTTACATTCCTCCATGCATGCTCACATGATTAGTTAGCATATTCAGCTGGGAGGTGGAAGATCTGTGGTTTAAATCTTATTGAGGGCACAGTTGATTTTTCACACTTCCTTGTCTGAGGAATCCAATAGTCTCTGTAATATAATCCAAAATAAAATGAGGTGGATGATATCTCTGGTCTCTTTTTCCTTGTTGTTATTTAAGTGTGGGGGGAAGGAATTATCAAGTCATGGTGAATGCTTTCATAATATGAAAGGCAGATGATCCATGGTCTGAACCCCAGTGGTAACAGTAAATTTTTATAAGCTTTGCACTTTGAAAAACTTAATACCTCTACAGTATTGCGCCAATGAAAGGTCTTTCATAATCTCTTTCAGTAATAAGCGTTATCCTGTCATATTTTTTCCCTTCTAATAAAAGGAAGATTATTTTACTTAAAAAAATTACAAATGACTAATTCTGATATAAACAAACATTAAGGAACACACCTGGTAGCCAGAGGTCATAACGTTTGAATTTTTTAAATTTTCCACTATATAAAATTGTCACTGTGTTGTCATATTCTGAAGCTGTGGTAGTAACTGAAAGAGTAAAGAAAATCAGTTTATATCTCTGCAAGTTTTAAAAACAAAGCAAATATCTGAGTGAGTAACATATCCTGTAGGCTATGGAATAAAGAAAGAGAAGAAACTTCAGAATATTTTCTGAAAAACTATGTGAATTATAAAACTATGAATTTTAGTGTTGCTAACAATAGTTCTCAGTATTTTGAACTTTCAGAAAATGTTATTATGTATAGTGCAAGTTTATCTGCTTCATATATATTGAAATAACACAAGTATATTAATTTAATACTGTCATATTATGGATCATATGAGTGGCTGATGTATCAGTGATTAAAATTCTGCATGACATTCTTTTATCTAAAAAATAAGAAGACATTTCATTTTTCTCTGTTTTTAAATGCAGATACAAAGGCAACTTTCAAAAAAGAAAATTGCCGTGTATGCATTTTTTAATGTCAAGTATATATGAAGAAAGACTAACAATGAATTGTTAACTGTAAATGATCTGTGTAACTAACTTGAGTATCAAGTACAATAAAAATAAGCTGCTGTGTACATATTTTCAAAGCAAGTGGATGCTAGTTAGTGTTGCAAATTTAAATGTAGCAATAGTGTTTGGCCTTTATTTTTTGATAAAACTTCCTTCATGTATTAGCATCTATGTAACTTTGTTATTATAAACATTCAAAATATGCAGCATATGAACGATTGTTGATCAAACAGAAAAAAATATTAATTTATAATTTTCAAAAATTTGTTGGACATTTTTATTTTCACACATTTGGCTGCTGTTGAACTTTTATGATATATGATATTATAATATATGTATTTTAGCTTCCCAGTGTTCATTTACTTTTAGTAGAAAATATTTAAATAATCCCATCAATATCTTTTTATGATTATATTTATTTTATTCTATAATATCTTTTTACTAAGATCCATCTCACTTCTGTGTAATCTTTCATTATTTTCCTCAACTGATCATTGCATCCCTTAAGCAATCTCTTGAAATGTAATACATATAAATTCATTTCATTCTTAATCATACAAGTTGAATAATTCAAGGTTTTTTGTGATGTCATGATGGTTAGAGAAGACTAGGCTTGAGTTTGAATTCTGCAAAAATCATGGACACTTGCAACTGTAATGCCTTTGCGTAATAGGGACACTTAATGTAAAGGAGTGAGCATATGCCTTAGGTAGTAAATCCACAGAGCAGCCCTTTTACTCCCTCCACTGATTGATATCATTCACTTTTATTTTTGAAAAATTATAGAATCATGTTCAGCATACAATTTTATTCCTTGAAGATCAAAACAAATCATTAGGATTATATTTCATAAAAAAATGCTAAATTTTTTTTTCATGTTCTATTTATAATTTTGAAAATATATTGAAAAATATTTCTGCATCACATATTTGTCATGTATGTGAAGTAAAGAACTTATTAGCAAGCAGATTATGAAAGAATAATTTTTGGTTTCTATATGTAACTGATATTGTTATTCCTTAACATACAATGATATATTTTAGGATTTTATTGTGTACTATTTGAATTTTTTTAAGTATAAAAGATTTTAATTCTCATGAAATGTTAAAAAAATTAAGTATAAAATCTGAAAGGTTTCAGATTTTAAATTATGTCCAAAGGGGCATTTTTTTAATGTTTTGTGTGTTACCTTTCTTTATTAAATATCATGTTCCTCGCACTTAAACCATAAGATTCAGTGCAACAGCAATATCGCAAAATAGTTTAAAAGCATATCTTTAGAATTTCCGATACAGAGACTCACGCGCTGGAGATAAAAATGTTTTTCTGCCACAACGTTTGCCATTGCTCGCTTTGAAATCCTTGAGTTTGTTAATCAAAATTTGTTGAGTGATCAAAATATGAAATCAATATAAATGCATCAAATTCGGGATTCCACCGCCCAGTTCATGAAGATTATGTTATCAAATTTTTAGCTCTAGGTACCGTTATTTTATCACAGTGCAAGAAACATACATCCATTTATGCAAGCTTCATTACTTAGTTTCATTAAATATAATACCGGGCTCTAATATTCGGTGGCAACAATTTGAAAAGTGAGTCGCCATCTATGGTTTTCAACGCAAAATGTCAAAGCGAAATTAATAGTTCTTCTGAGCAAATTGCCCCTTAAAAAAACTGCATATTTTAATAAATGGTGAAAGCATTGAACTAAAAATTTAATTTTACCCGTTATGTATGTATTGTTTACTATATAAAGTTTGACTTGCTCTGGTAACATAAGCTTAGTCCCATTTCTTAACAGAACAGGAGCGAATTATCATTGCATCTGAAGTTAATGACAAACTTGAGAAGGTTTCAATAAACCTTTTTATTAAATCGGAACTTTAAACATAAATGCATGACTCATGCTTAGAAGTCAGCCAACCACTTGTGGCAGTGTAACTTAAAGTAATGGTAAATTCAGATTTCAGGTTTAAACTAAGATTATTAGCAAGGGTTACACAAATGTTTTAACCGTTTGACTGCTAAGCAATTCTTGCAATGCATTTCACGCAATTCTTGCAAGAACTCACGAAAACTGCGGGACCTATTTTGACTTGATGTTGTCAAATAATGCCACTGAAATACAGTATTTGCATGTTTGACAAGCATATCAAACCTGCCACATGGGTCATAATTCAGATGGCCTGGATCAAATAATAACATGTTGTCAATCAAGTGAAAAAATCAGTTGAAACCTATCCCTTGAAAACATTGTTGTAAACCATGGTATATATCGGGAACCTTTTATCCAATAACTATCAATTGTTGGCCTTCTTGTAATCCCCATTTCGAGTGAAGACTGCAATAAAGGCTTTTATTTCGTATATTGTTGTCGGCGCCCACTTTTTTGCTCCGAGAATTATTCGAAACAGTGTGCGAGGCAAAAAACTGGGTAGCATATCGATTTGTTTCCCTTATGATGGTTTCAAGCAGTGATTTGGTAGAAAATTAATTGAAATATGTTATGGGTGTAGCATCGGAGGTGGGAGGCGCACATCTAGGTCCAGGAGTCTTGAAAAAATTATTTGTTGCTTTAGAAAACACATTTGTCGGAGGAATATTCGTAAAAGTTGGTGTTTCTTCTGTTTCTGAAGATCGGATAGAAGACTCACTTTCAATCCTGTTTTTTCTTTGATGAGTTATAATAATGCTATCATCACTACTTTGTGTCTGTTCTTTCACCATCCTCAGAATCACTAGCAATCGAATCAACGTTCAAAATAATAGACTGTGTCATGGTTATTTTTTTTAAATAATATACAAAAACGGTAAAAAGTTATTTTAGAATGCACTTTTGTTACAAAGTACACGTGAGGTCAGACTACGTTCACACCCGCGGAGCAACAAAGACACACTGAAACTCACAACACAAAAGCACTGCGTCGCGGTTTTCGAGACAAATGAACGCAGCGCTTTTGTGCCGTGTAGCAGTCAAACGGTTAATGCGATGTTGGCTCACAGATATAACAGCCGCAAATATTTAAATGTCGGCATTAATGTCAGCAAAGCCAAAGAGTGAAATCTTATGTGAGTTAGCAAAAACCTAGTAATGCATTCTTGAGGGGCAGAACATGTTCTGAATTAAACTTCCAAAATTTTCCTTTAAATACTCTCTTGCTACCTCATTTACATACTGGCAGGGAAATGGAAATGAGAAGTAACAGTAAAGATTCAAAATGTAAAATAATTGGTAAGTGAAAAATAATAGTAGTAACCCTTCAACTATATACATGTACATTATTTATTGTGTTGTGCTATGAATGTAGATTATACATTTATTCAAGCTAAACTATGCTGTGTTTAAATTTTTTTTGTATGAAGTGTATCTTTTTTTAATGTATACTAAAGATTGATAAATTTATATGTAGGTATCACAGTAAAAAATATAATAAAATATTAGTCATAGTTCAGTGTTTACAACAGACAACCTCTGCCCTAATTGCTTTTTAAACTTGAGATTTTAATCAAGCTTGAATGCAGGACAATTTCCTTAATCAGGTTAAGAAACTTGAAGCAATAAGAATAGCTCTAAGAACTTACTTTTATTTTCCAAGTAAATGTGAAATTACTTATTCCTAAAATTGAAAAGGAAATATTGAAAAGTAACCAACAGCAGGGGGGGGAAATTGAATTGAGAAATAATGCAAAGCAGTAAACAAGTTCTTAAAATATATATAAATATCATTTTGAATTTTAAGTGATGCTGATATTGCATGGGGGTTTCACAGTATTTCAGCATAATTTCTTGCATTTTGTGAGTTGTAAAACATCCATAAAATGTATGCACCAAAAACGAATTTCGAGAATTGAGTGAAATTTTATGAGAGTTCAACATTGATATATATATACCGGGTGGCCATAATTAAACTGACAGTGCTTATAGTGTTATGTAGTGCAATCTATTTGCGAGAATGACGTCACATTTTGTAGGAAGATTAAACAAGACGGGGGACGAAGGATTCCGCGAAAAAAACAAATTAGTTCCAAAAGTCACCGCTAGGGGAATATTTGGCGCTGTGTGATAGAAAATAGAGTGTTAACAAATGCAAATTAAATTACCTTTTAATAATAAATAATAAAATAATATAAATAAAATTACCTTTTATTATGCACATTTTCTGATTTAGTTCAAGTGCAATATGGCAATACTTTTAAAAAAAGGCAAAATCTACATAAAAACCGATAAAGTCTCATGATCTGCAATATCACGTACGCTGAGCAGAAGAAGAAGTTCTTATTCAAATATCAATGTTACCATCCATTCGCCACAGTGCAGCTGCTTGGGTTCTAAAAGGCATTGTGTTACGTTTTCGAATCAATCGGATTGAAAGTTTATTATGTGCAATGTCTCTTTCTTTAGTCGAGCGTGCGTTACTGGTCAAATTCTTTTACCTCAAGCAGTGCAACGCGTCAGCCGCTCTTTGTGCTTTTAGAACGCACAAAAAAATGCATGAAGGTAATGGTTCTGTGTCAGTTAATAGTCTAAAAGCAAATAGTTGCGACGTTTGAGAAAACAGGTTCTCTGAAGGTTCAGTCAGGCAGAGGACGAAAATCTGTACCACAGGATACAATCGAAGTAGTTGCCATGGCGATTGTCGACAGAGAACCAGACAATATTGCTGCCACCTCTAGCACTCGTGGAGTAGCTCGGAATTATGGGTATGCCTTACAGTACAGTATGGAAAATCTTACGAAAAGATAATCAACTTCTATCCGTTCAAGATCAGCCATGTACAGGAGTTACTGTACCCCGATCATGATAAGCGATTGACTTTTGCTCTCACCTTTCTAGCCAGAATGGAGGTGGATGATGCTTGGCCGTGGAAAATCTTATGGGGAGACGAGGCCCACTTTTACTGAATGGAAAACTGTGAATACCCAGAACTGCCGAATTTTGGGATGACAAATCACCACATGCAGTCACAGCAATTCCCTTACATTCACCAGAGGTAACTGTTTGGTGTGGGTTCACAGCGGAATTTATCGTAAGTCCATTCTTCTATGAGAACATGACCTCAACAGGACCGGAAACCTGTTCTGTTACCGGAGAGAGATATCACCATGTGTTGAACAGCTTTGTCATTCCTTCACTGCAGCAAAGACAATGCCTGGGGGAAATCATTTTCATGCAAGATGGAGCCCCTCCACACGTTGTTGTGCGGATGCAACAGATGCTATGACTGAAATTCACAACAGAAAGAGTCATCAGCCGCTACTTTCCAACTGCATGGCCACCTCGGTTGCCTGATCTTACCCCATGCAACTTCTGGCTATGGGGGGTTACCTTAAATCCAAGGTCTATCAAGGAGTGGTCCAGGACCTGGCTATGTTGAAGGATAACATATCACGGACTGTACGGGAGATTCCTGCAGACATGTTACTTTCTGCTGTTGGGCATACCGTGCACAGAATGCAATATGTGGTCCACAACAACGGCAGCCACATTGAACCTCATTTGAATGCAAAATAAAAGGTAATTTCCGTATTGATTTGCATTTGTTAACACTCTATTTTCTATTACACAGCGCCAAATATTTCCCTAGCAGTGACTTTTAGAACTAATTTGTTTTTTCGCAGAATCCTTCATCCCCCATCTTGTTTAATCTTCCTACAAAATGTGGCGTCATTCTCGCAAATAGATCTCGCTACAGAAACACTGTGAGCACTGTCAGTTTAATTATGGCCACCCAGTATATACACGTGATTATAAAATAAAAACAAGAGTATCATTTTATTACAGGAAAAGCTCCAAATGAATGGAGGTTCTAGTACTCTGTATTCATGAGCAATTCTAGCATGCGATACAAGAGAGCACTGAGGCATACAAGTCCCATATGATGTCCTGTATCATGTCATTTTACATTCGCTGTAAGCATGCCTGTAATTTGATCAAACTCATAGTCTGTGCAACTTCCCGTCCCAAATTACCCCAAACATGATTGAACAGCGTCAGATTTGTAGAGTGGACAGGCCATGGAAAGGTTGGGAATGTGGCAGAAGCATTCTTGTGACAATTGTGACAACCCTGCTGTGTATAACTGAGTATTGTCCTGTTTAAAGATGTCTCCTGACAGCCCTGCCATATGTGGAAATACTGGTGGTTGAAAGATGTCATGAACAAATTATTGGGTTGTCATGATGATCCTCTCAGCTTTTGAGGGCAGGCTGACCCTGGCCGCTTTGCTTGCAACCTTTTATCTGCTGGTCTTAAGATCTCCTAATAATAATTTAGGATGATTTAGGTGGGAAGAATATCTGCCAAGCTGAACATTGAACTTCCATCATTCCAATGATTCATTCCAATGATTTCTCTTTCAGACTGTGACTATTAATCATATTGATGATAATGTAACAGCATCCCTATGAAAAAAAATTGAGTACAGGCAAAATGCCTTTGTGAACCTTTTTTATATGCTAGAGAGATCAAAATTCATTGTCCTATAGTGGCATTATGCAATGTGCAATTGCACTGAATTTCTAGTCATTTGCCTATCTGCCTGACACATACCTTCATGCTAAGTTTCTTTATGATCTAACAATTACTTCTTGGTATGCAGTTTTTTTAGGCCAAATACCATCATCATTACATTAGAATAAAAATTTTGCATTTCATTGTAACATATTTACAAAACATAGTTTCACATGTTTTGCTGACAATAACTTAGCTGCCCATTGTCAAACAAATTTCATTTTCAAATAATACAGAAAGCTTGAAACACTCCTTATTTCTATTCTAACTTCCTTACTTAAAATCTCTCAATCAGGAAGTCTTTTTGAGTGTTTGGTTATGAGCAAGAGTGGTACGAGATTCTCAGATTCCATTGTCAGAATTATGTGAAAATTAGGTATATAGGTCTTGAAGGAAATCATATTCAATTTGATATTTCCATTCTAAAGAATTTTTTGCACTAGCTATCATTTGTAACATAAAGTTCGGTTTTTAATACATAATTTTAAAGGAATGCCCTGAAGAGTACAAAATTTAAATATTTTATCATGTGACAGTTAGTTCTTTATGTAACACATGTCTGGATTACATGTTAAGTTTTTCATTCATTTGATAATGCAATTATTGGTATCAAAACTCTGAGAAACAGGCAGGGAATTACTAACATAAAGTTGGAAATGTGGTATACTTATGGGAATCCTTTCATGTATTCAAACTTTCTTCTCTAAAAGGACAGCAAATGGTTATCAAAATTAGGAAATGCTAAGTGTTTTGAAATATTTTGCTTTGTATTATGCAAACTGAAACTCTTCATTTAGTTTCCCTTTATCTAAACTTTGAAAGACACCTTCGTGTAATATAAAAATATTATATATTTTATCTAATGAATCAGTGCATTGATTTTACTTATATTCATCTCAAAAACTGGGGGAAAACTATGCTCTTCTATGTGATTTTTAATCTTTTAAGTGATCATCTTTAATGGAGCGTAGCTATAACTAAAAACTTGTTTATCACAATTACAGAATTACTGAAATGTGAATAAAAATTCATTATGTGTAATATTTTATATTTCTGTATTTTAGTAACATAATTAGTTTTATTGAAATTAGATGTATACATTGTTTGAATATACTCTACAATTAATAATTTGATATTCACTGAATTATTAGTCAAATTGTTAATGCAATTTTTTGTTTATTGTGTTGCTTTACACAGAGATAATTTAGATGTCAAAGCCAAGGACATACTGCAAAAATTGCTGTTGTCAAAGATTGGGGAGAGACCTATTGTATGGGTAGCTCATTCTATGGGTGGTAAGTTATGAGTGTTATATTTGAACAGTTGCATGAGAATGTATATATGAAGTTATTACTTTATATGAGGTTTTTATTGCAAACAATAAATTCCTGCCTATTATTCAGATTTTACTCAAATATGTGATTGAAAAATCACATATTTGTTACTAAGCCATGGTCTTCGTTTTAAACCTTTAAATTTTATTTTGTGGAGTATCTATGGAACTGACATTTTCTAAAAATTCTGATATATATATATATATATATTGTTTATGTATTATCGTTAAAGTGAATTGAGTTATTTCATTGAATATGTAGTTATTTCATGAAATCACTTACTAAGTGTGTAATAAACTAATAATAGTAACTTTAACTGTAGTGCTGTTTTAAATATAGTATTCAAAAGAGTAATTCTATGGTAGCTGCAACAGTCTGGTCTATCACCTTTTTTGAAAGATGGGACAGATGGAGCCTGCATCTCATTCAATGGGCACCTGCTCCGATGTCCAAGCCCTGCAAACAATAGCACATATAGCCGTAGTCAGATCAGGTTCGTCAACCTTCAACAGTTCAGCATTAATCTCATCACGGCCCGCTGATCTGTTTCAAATAAGTTTCTTGATTGCAGATTCAATCTCAAAAATACTGGTAAATGAAGGTCTTGTTCATCAGTATGGAGAGGAAATATAATTCTATTGTCTATATCTATAGTGTCTTAACCATGGAGCAAATCTTTAAAGTATTCCTTCATCTTGCTAAGATCTCATTCTTTTAGTTCAGGAGCACACCATCTTTATTTGTGCAGTATATTCCATTTTGCGTGAAATCTTTCCTGGTATTATTTATCAGCTGAAAGTATTTTCTTGATTCTTTTTGGGCCTTAAACTTTTCAATTTCTCTCTACTGCTCCTCAAGAAAAAGCCTCTTTTTCTTTCTATGTAGAATTTTTTCCTGCCGTCTTAACTCCCTGCATTCCTCCTCAGCTCTTCTGGTATAATGATTTTGAATCATTAATTTATAGGCAATATTTTTCTGTAATGTAGCCAGTGCACATTCCAAATCATACCAGTCTGTACTCCCATTCTTTTTCTTCTCTGGTATGGTGTCAGTTTCAGAATTATATATTTTTTGCTTGTCTTTCTCAAATGTAGTTGTTATTCTGTACAGTTACTTCTGCTTGCAGATTAGTTCTGAGCTTAGTTCCATATGCATTTAAAATATTAGGGTTTTTAGAGTTTGTCAACAGCCAACCCCTTGCTTGGTTGTTCCCTCTTATGGTAGAAAAGTTTTTAAAGTCAACATCTAACTTTAGAGATAAGAAGGAAAAGGTCAGAATCCACATTCGCTCTTCTGTAACATCGAACATCCAATAGAATATGGTAGATTTGGTTAGAAGTCTTCCCATCTGTTTACCTCCATATTGCCTTATGTATATTCCTGTGGTGAAACACTGTGCACCAATTTATAATTTGTTTGGAACAGCAAAATTAGTCAAAAAAACCTCCATTGATATTACTTATAAGGTGTAAGCTCTGTACCGCAATGTTTGGTATTATTGTACTGTCTTTTCCAGCTTATGCATTAAAGTCTCCAATCAGGAGTTTCATACCACTCTTGAGCACAACCATCAAAGGTGCTTTCTAAACTGTCATAAGAAGATTCTTTTTCGGTAATATCCTTATCCTCAGTGGGTGCATGAGCAAAAATAATGCTAATATTGTAATGCTTATCCTCAGGCGCAACTTACAAATTCTCTCATTAACAGGTTTAAATTCAGTTACATAAACCTTCATTCTCCTACTCACAATGAACCCTACACTAAAAATGATGCTGGTTATCCTGACAACTTGTAGTACACACAGTGTTACCTCTTTTCAAAGATCCCCCCCGGCAAGTCCAGCAAATTTCCTGCAATGCCAGGACATAAATTTTGAACTCAATAAAAACACCAACAAGATTTCTCAATGCTTCACTCCTATAAAGAGTTCTAAAATTCCGGCTTCGAATAATCAAATCCATTTTCTTGCCATGTTGCTTGGGTGAGATCCATCTGTCATTAACTCCTTGAGATTTCTGGACAGGTAGATTTTGCAAGGTGGGATTGTGAACCTCATGCTCCACCTTCAACCTGGAGGACCAATCCCTGATATAATCCCCAGGGGCAGGATGCCTGGCTATACCCCTGGACATTGGGTACCCATTTTAGTCATCTCTTATGAGATGCATGGCCCACCAGCGGCCGAGCGGTAAAGTCGCTGAACTGGTAGTTCGGTCCGAGGTTCGAATCCCGCGAACTGGCTGGCTGCATGGGCGTTTTCGTGGTTTTCCCCATGTGTAATGTGTATACGAGCCAGTTTCCCTTAGAAAGTCCTCCATGAAAGGCATCCCTCCCCTTCGGCAGATAGCCCTCGTGTGCTTTGCCATAATTAAATACACCATACACCACCTTATGAGATGCATAGCCTACATTGGGACTAATCTTTCACACCTGGTCACCACACGGGTATCTCTACCACTCTGCTGAATAGATAAAGAGTTTCATATAAAATATCAAACAAAAAATCATTTGAACAATAAAACACTATATGGTTTTTTAATTTTTCTACTGCATGAAATCAAGGCCATCATCATGTTCAAGTAACTAATAATCACATGGCACTTTTGCTATCTAATATTTTAGAATTCTTTTCAGCTGTCAAATGTGATAACTTTTCATGGATGAGAAAAGAAATATTCTGTTTGACACCATCCTTACTTACAAGGAAGCTCTTTTAATTTGAACTCAGTTTTATGGGGGGAAAAAAAAAAAAAAAAAAAAAGTACACATGGTCTAATCATCTGAAATCCAAATGATCCTGAACGATGTAATATCCTGACCACCAGTATTTTTCCCCTTGAATTTTTTTTCATAAAATCTTAGAGTGGGGAATATTATAAGTAGATGTGATGTAAAAGTGATTTTTCTTCTGACTAGCTGAGATTCCTGTATGTCGATTTCAAAGACTAGCTGGCTAGGGAACTCCACTGAGGTCAATGTGAGTATGCTGACTCTTGTTGGCTGTGACCATGCCTTTGGCCCTCAAGTGGTTGTTGGAAGGGCTAACATTTTTTTGTCTAACCTTATCAATAAATGAATCTCAAGACATATTTGGCATATATGTTTGGAGTGGGATGTTGATCATACAGATTTTCTTTTGGCACAGCTGGTCAGAAGAGAGAAAGAATTAGATCCCAAAGTACTTAATTTCAGTTAACATAGCAGATGTTCTTCTTAAGTTTCTAATTTAATCCAGGTCACCATTTTTTTGCAGGCTGCTATTATGGCTATCTTATCAAAATCAAAGTTTTAATTTTGATTATGCCAAAGAGAGTTTCTAATTTTGAAACTTTAGCAGGATCTGCAAAATGAAAACATATTTGGTACTACTCTTCTGTAATGGCCTTAGTGAGAGAAAATAGGATGGGTGCAATTTGGATTTACGAAAGTGCAATTTCAAAAGTAGGCAAAACAACAACTGCATTTTGTTTTAAATTTTGAGTACTATTGAAGATGTTATAAATGAACATGATGTAACAGAAGTTTCCATTGGGATGGCAATGTTTGATGATGATGTGATTTCCATTGTGATTAGTAAAAAAAGCTACAGACAGATTTTGCAGACTGAAAAGATTTTGATTGACAGTTTAGTGGGAATTCTCAACACAGCAATTGTTATAAGACAATGATTCAATTGAAAATATTGAACTTTGTAGCTGAACAAGAAATTGTGTCGGTCTATAAAATTAAAGAGAAATAAAGTATTAACGCAAAAAGAAAGAAGGAGTTTAAACAAAGGACATATTTGGGCTTACAGTGAATAAAATGTTTAATTAAACAAATAAACATTGAACTTTTTTGTAAATTTTGATTCCCATAAAATCATAAATGCTTCGTTATTTCATGAACAACTATTTCATGTTCTTCACTTTGTAATTTCTACATGTCATCTTACTAGATTTAAACTGATGATCAGAAATCGCCAAAGTCTGAAACATTTCAGATCTCAGATTTTGTACTGTAGTATAAAATATGTCTGTTAATATTCTATAGATCTGCAGTAAAAAAGTGGTAAAAATAATGAGATTTGGCAAAATGGCACTCACTATTTGCCAGCTATTAAAATTTTCAATGTTCAAGTTTGGAAATTTAGCAAACCTGATCAGTATGAATTGATCAAATAGAAATATGAAACAAATGAAGTGATAAAAAGCAAATATGTTTTGTCTGTCAGTACACACAATCTTAAAATAAAAATAGAACTTATGGAAATTTAACCCTTGAAAAATTAAGTCAGAATGCAATAAAATGTCGAAATTATTTTACATTGGAAAAATGCATTGTAACTTAATCATTTATAGTGATACAAGCAAAACTAGTGCGAGTAATAATATACACTAATTACAGATTGAATGTTCAGCCTTGATAAAAATGCAGTATAAAAAGGAACAAAATAATCTGTTTTACACCAATTACAATTAGCAAACTGAATCAAATTACAGTGTTCCCTCGCCACTTCGCGCTTCATGTTTTGTGGCTTCAGCGCTCCGCGGATTTTTCCAAAATATTCATCAAAAATAAAAATGAAAAAATACAACCATGTCGGCAGCCACATTGCAGAAAGGAGCATTGTTTCATGTTGATGCACGAGAGAGAAGGATCCCTGCATGTCAAACAAAGAGATGAGTTGACTTAGAGTACATACCATGGGCTTTAAAGGAGTGTGATTGGTTTCCGGTGCAACATCGACCAATGAGAGTACGAGTAGATTTATCCCTGTGAGTTGATTGTCTGTGCATCATTGCTGCCTCACTTAGCAGATTCTCTTGTTGTATCTCGCCAGTCTTGTCCATGATGTTGACTGTCTTGCATACTGTATTTTAGTGTTGTGTTGGCAATAACTGTTTTTGTTTAAGCAATAACTTTTGTTATTAATTAAGCCCTTATAATGCCGCCTAAGCACTGCGCTCCTGTGTAAGCT